ATAAAATGAAACATTTAATTTATGATTAGTAAGCAAAATTACAATAAAATAAAATAGGTTTTGACGATTAATACCAAGTTTTTGGACTCTATACTTTTTGGATTCCAGTAAGATGTAAGGTGGATTGGGTATGCATGTTGGTGAATGAGGAGGAAAGATGAATGTAACACTCTCATCGGTATCCATTTATACACTCTCATTCTTTTTTTCGATGAGATATGTTAGATATAGCCAAGCATTGACTGAACAAAATGCGTTAGGCAACAAATATGACGGTCATTGTTTTGATTTCCTTGATATATCTTCTATCAAACATAGCACAGACATTTTTCACCGTTTAAAAATAAAATATCATGTCGGATGATCTTAGTAAATTGCCAATGGAATTACTTCACATGATTCTCAACCATCTTTCTATGAGTGATATTCTTACATCGATGTGTTTCGTTAATAAACGTCTTCGTACTATTTGTTTCGCTTATCCTTATTTTCACTTTGATTTTTCTTCGTCTGCTAAGAAAAAAGAACAATTCGAATTAGTCTGTGCTCATTTACCTCATCTATCATCTCAAATTCGTTCATTAACATTCTCCGATCCATGCGACCGTATGGTGAATATCAAGATCGCACGTTTCTTTTCGAGATTAAATACTGTCAATGGTACATTATCAAAATTATATTCGATAACTCTACATTCGATTAATTTTGAAACATGGCGCTCAATCAATGATCGACTAACATTATTACCTTCGCTTTTGTCGTTATCGATCGATTCAAGTGATTTGAACGATGATTTAGATATATCGACGGTATCGAAATTACTGAATGATCTATTATACAATTCTGAAACATTGAAACGTCTTGCTGTGAATGTTCGTGTTCGGCGTAATAATACTTTTATTATCGATCCTCCGCCAACAGCAACGAAATCACTGATCGAACATCTCATTCTAGAAGGTGTTAAGGTGGAAATAAAATCTCTTCTAAAAGTAACACCGAAATTAAAAGCATTAGATATTCAGCCGAAAGACTACCGATTTATACCAACGATTCATGTACGTCCATCTCAGACTATGTGTGACTTAACTATCAGAATGACTTGTGTCACATTCAATCAAATTGAATATATTCTACATTCAATGACACAACTGACCTATTTGAAAATTATCTCCGAAGGTGTAGGATATGATATGGCTGATGGCATTGCTTGGTCTCGTTTGTTGAAAACAGTAGTAATATTCAAATTTAAATTTTCCTTCAAAGAAAGCACATTTACACACCCACCTGTTGATCTCACGTCGTTTCGTACTCCGTTCTGGCTCGAAGAGAAACACTGGTATGTGACTTATGATCGATGTATAGATACTGGTTATTCACTATTATATTCAACTTCTTATTGTGATAGTAATTATCCACTGTGCTATATGCAAGATTCCATCATTACCATGTCAACTGCACCAACATTAATATCATTGTTACCTCCTACTGTTTCTCTCATGTTCGACTATTTTGATTTAGATGTACCGAAAATGCTCCGTCGAATTACACATATTACTGGTTGGTCATTAGACGATTGTGGTACTAGTCTCGATGTGAAGCTTAGTTATGCTACTACAAAACTTGACTTATCGCAAGTCAGAACATTTTTTGCTTTTCGATATGAGATCGATATGTTGAATGACGTATTTATTAGATTCGTACGTGATTTACCTCGTTTATGTCGGTTGACTGTATCGACTGCTTTTGTCAAGATATTTTTCAATCATCAATGGTCAAACATTACTGATCTTCGATTGTCCTCAAGTAAATATAATTCTAGTCAACCCTTAACTTCGTGCGACATTGACGCCTTATGTTGCTCTTTTACTCATGTCGAGAAGCTCTCTTTCTCCTATGATACATTCGATGATCTATCTCGATTTTTCAACAGTATTATGCCGACACTATCGATTATTTCAATTGAACACAATGTGAAAAACAATAATCAAGTAATACAAAAAGATTGGATTGAGAACAATACACATTTGCGCAATTTTTATTATTCGTGTGACAAAAACAATACTGTAAATCTTTGGTTGTAATAGAAATATTCACTATGTTTCAATAAAGCTTTCTTGTTGATTTCTTCTATAGATTTTTACAAATAAAAGTACGAAGTTTGCTCTTAAAAAACAAGATACATAAAGATTAACATTGTTAAGATAAGCAGTAGCAACCTCATTCTCCTCTTCCTCCTCATTGTCATCATTCTTATTGTAGCATGTATACGAATGAAAGACAGACAAATGTTAAATCTTCGAATAGCTATCATTTGAATGAGAAATCTCGATATGCGTGTGAGTGTGGAGGGTGCGGGTGTGGGTGTAGATCTGATCTTCACTCACACACACTCCATACACACCCACACCCTCCTTGATGCTTATGATTCACTATATGTTTTTTAAAATAGTATTCTCTACTCTATAACGAGTGTTTGATTATAAAAATGACATTAATGTCTACCATGAAAAGAAATTATTCAAAAACTATTTAATTACAGTTGTTGTAAGTGGACAAATGTCAGATACAAAACTGAATAATAAATTGCATGATGTATTGAATACGTGAACAAAAAAATTTTTGAAACTTAACGTAGCTTTTTGTTGTTTAACTATAGTAAATTTCGAATATCATGATGATCTTCCTTCCTGTTGAAAAAAATTAATTGATTTGTGTTTTGTAGTAATTGTTTCTTTTCGTTCTGTTGCAATAGTATAGTTAACTAAAACGCGTATTCATGACTAGGCGGAAAACGTTTTACATCGACATTAATGTCATTCTTATAATCAAACACTCGTTCTGAAGTAGAGAATACTATTTTAAAAAACATATAGTGAATCATAAGCATCAAGGACTCAAATAATTAATCTTTTCTTCATTCATCCTTGATAGAAAAGTAAAGAACCTGTCAGTTTATATAATTACACTCTTTTTGAAAAGTAGATTATAGCCTTATTTAAATAATTATATGTGAAAAAGATAATATTTTCTTATAAGCTAGTATACAGCTGTATATTCATGGTAACTATACAAAAAATATTTTGCGTATAATTTTTTTTCTGAAGCAGCTTCAGTAGGTAATCTTTTCAGATCTCATATCTCAATAGTTGAATAATTGAATACTTGAATTCAACTTTCAAGTTTGACACTACTGAAATTAATCAACAAAGCTGCTCAATAAGACTCTTTGAGCTAGTAATATTTTAATGTTATATTAATTCGTGGCATTTTATCAAATAATATGAAAACTAACCTGTTTATCGATGATTTTAGAGTGGTAATGTAAATGTCATTCTTAGTTTTCTGAGACTATCCATAGCAAATATGAACTTATGTTTATTCTAATATGCACAATACATAATCAATTGTATATCCATATTCATATAGGTAGTTCGTTAGCATTAATAATGCTCGGCAACTTTATCATAGGAAAGCTAATTAAATTAGTACTATATAAGAAAAGAAAGCGAAAAAAATAGGGCATCAGAGAGATGTTTTGCATTTGTCGCTTCAAATCGGTGTGATATAGAACTCGCATATGTTATACAATTCATTCTACGAATTATCGATTCCACACAGCTATTATGTGATCATCGTTCACATATGAAACCGACTTTCTTCTGTACCAATTTCATCTATGATAGATCGTCGTGTTTCTTATCAAACTAGCTTTCTATTCAAACTTTTATGTTTCTGAAAAAATTCCTCATAATGACAGAAATTTCAGATCTCTTTCACGAAATAACATCCATATTGAGATGCAACGAAACACGTTTCCGGATCATGGAGACTGTTAGTTCAGTTGTATTTTCATTCATTACCAAACTCGGTATATTTTCCCATTGACGCGCATACCATTAGTTATATGCAAGGAAATAATAGTTGAGACTGTTGAAAGATACAAGAGTTAGAGAGAATATGTACCCAAAAAGATGAAGACGAATCGAAATTACCTCCAAGTGCTATCGTTTCTTCACATCAAGATCGTCAATAAGTGACTTAATTGATAGTGAACTATTTCAGTTGATTTTCGCATTAGAATGCAGAAATGTTTACTTTTGTATTTTTTCTTTGCACCATTTTGTAAATTGATGAGAGATAAGAAATGCTCAAAGAATTTTATTTGTTCCAGCCTCTATGAAAGAAGAACAATGAAACTAACCAATCAAGATTAATACTAAGTATAGACAGATAAAAATCGAAGAGAAATGATTTGTCAATGAGAATGTCTTTCGCATTAGGAAAATTGTGAACGGTACAATTATTTCTTGATTTTGAACATTCTTTTGATTAATGGAACTTTTTCACATCTAAAAATAATAAAAATATATTTATTTTTATATGAGACAACAAATAGAATAATACTCTTTAATGAATTGTTCTTTGGTTAATTTCTTTTCTGCATTCAAACCGATGAAATTGAAAATTTTCCCAGCAACTTTCATAGTTTCGTAAGCCGAGACATTCTGAGTTTCCTTTACACTGCTGGCCTAGAGAAATATATCATGAATCTGTTATTATCACAAGATAATGACATTCATAGAATTAGTTATCTTACGATGATCGCATTAAAAGCTGCTAATTCAATCATATCCATTCTTTCATCAAGAGAAGTATCGCACCTGAATCGATAGGATAATTATGAAAGTAAGATATAACTCTAAGAACTACTTACAAATCAAATAAATAATCTAATGCTTCACGCCTACTATTCGACGATGCGAAAGCATTGGCCATTAAGAATTCTACAAAGTCAATCTTTTTGTCGTTATTTGAATCGAAGAGAGCAAATGCGATTCTTAAATAGAATGGATTCAATCAGAATATGAAACACTACATAGTATATATTAGAGTCATACTCCAATATGAGCTTTTCCTTATGTTGAGACCTTCTTTACATTTCTTGTTCATTATTAAATATGAATGTCAGATCAGCATTAGCATTAGCATTAAATAATGCTAATCTAATACTTCTACTATCAAAAATCGAATCCTAATTACAAAATATTCGACAGATAATATGACAATTCAATCTTACCATGATCTACGATGTATGAATGATTAAAAAGCAAACTTGTCGAAATATTTTCATGATTATATTCTCGTCTGACTCGCCATTTTTTTTTGAGTTTTAATTTAGTCTCCTTGTTTCTTAAACTGTCAAATACATAAAAGTATGAAGTTAAGGCTAAATAAAGTCAATATTAAGGGAATCCTTGGGTTTGTGTAAAAGTCTACGAACGAACATCAACTGAAGAATAATCTGATTTTCGAGACACAAGTAGTAAGTAGTTAATAGAAGTTTTAGGATTTTTAAAACTGTTTACTCTAGTTTTAAGTGTCGTATTTATCTGAAAATGAATTCAACATATCAAAGTAGTTAGATATCAACTAGAAACAAAATGACTTAAACGATGCATGAACATACTCGCGAGGAAATTTTCGTACAATACTGTCTTCTTTCTGTTTTTGATAGAACTTTTTGTATGTTGCATCAGTCATTATGCCATCTGGATTTTCACGCCAGAATTCCTAATGGGAAAAAGGATGAGAATAAGTGAATATGAAATTTGATCATGTTTTATATCTACTGTATGTAGTTTGTTGATTTCTGCAACGAGAAAAATAGGCACATAATACATATATCAAATGGAATAGATTTTGATTACCCTGTTCGCTAAGTTTTGAACGAGCTCTCAATACTTCCATGTCTGTAATGGAAATGATCATTCTAGTAAAAATACCTGTACAGAAAAGAAGAACCAACCTTCTGCTGTTAATTCTCTGCCTGTTCCAAGTTTAATAGTAGGTGTTGCACTCATGATTAATTATTTCAATTGATGTTCGTAGACTTCTAGAAATGAATCAATGCGAATAAAGAATAACGTAGTATATATAATTTTAAAAAAGGAGCAATGGATAAGTTGATTAAATAAGGATTGAGAATAAATGATTGAAGAAATGGAATGAATAAACTAGATATAAATAGGGAAAAAAAGACATCATTATTTGTAACTTTTTTCTACTTAATGAAGCCAAAGATAGCTGAAAAGAAATACATTGTTTTCGTATTTAAATAACATTTTTGTAAGATTAGTACGATAGGTATAGTCTGTATATATACCTTTATGCTGTTTTTTTCTGTCGTCGTTTGTCATTTTCTTTTATATTCTCTTCGTTGTATTTGGACGGATTATCGTTATATGTACGTGTTGTTTTATCAATATCCTATGAAAATAAAAGAAAAAGAAAAAAACAACTGCTTTTACTTTCGACTGCATAATGCAATATACGGGGTCAAATGGGGTAAGACCATTTACAATAGATAGACTATATTTATGATTAATGCTCGACATTCAGAAAGGTAATAGTTAAAGCACTTCGTTTCTTCATACATGATGAGTCATATCGATTTACGACTTTTCCCATGTCGCCTATTTTTCAGCAACTGAGGGTGTGTGGGTGTGGGTGTGAGTTAGAGGTGTGCAGAGTAAGCTTTTTTGTACCCTGTATCCTGTGTGAGAAAATTTCTCAAACCTTTACCCTACCCTACCCTGCAGGATAGAGTAGGGTAGAGTAGAGTAACCCTGTACACCTCTAGTGTGAGGATGGGTGGGTGCGAAAACGGTCTGGAGTGTGAAAGGGAGAGAATAGAAGATGGATATGCGCACTCCAGATCCACATCTACACCCACATCCATACCCTGACTTTTCTAATTCAAAAGTTGTGGAATTGATTCAACCAAGTTTGACGATTACTAACTGCAGTGCAGAACTGAAAATCGACATAGATTTCGACTGAAATTAGAAGCTTGTATTCTCATTTTCCTAATATCTGCATCGTCCTTCAAGTAGATGATATCTATAGCAGTGTTAATTCTGCAAATTCAGAAACTACTACCTTCATCGATCGATAAGAATATAAAACTCAAGTACTAAACTAATATGTACTGTATCTTCTCTTGGTAGCTTCTAAATTTCTCTAAATTGATCAATTTAGCATATAAACACATGAAAACTTAAATAAAATTTTTATGCGGGATGTAGATACATTTTACTCATGACAATAAAGGAATGCTCTTGAGGGTGTGGACGTGCGTGCGGGTATGGATATTTGCATCATTCGCATCCCACCCACACCCTACTCACCATCTACCATCTAAATTTTTTCATTTGATGAGTTTCCGTGTCAATTAACTATTAAATTATCCTATGTCATTGTCAATGCTCCTAGCACAACTGTGACCCAATAAGTATATATTAGTAATAAATTTTATTGTAAAATATGTTCTTGAGTATACTGTTTTTTTCTAATTTATTTCATCTATATTCTACAGGAACCCATTCTTAACATCATGTGATTTTGCTATCCTGTGATTCATTCTTTAAAGATCATGTTCAGTAGTAATGCAGAAACATAACAATAATAATCATTTGAATTTTAGGATAAATTTTTTTAGAAGAACATTATATAGATTTGACGAAAGTGACTTTTTACTAGACTTCAGTCAATTCATTATTGCTTTGTTTCTTTCTAGCTCGACTACTTATATTTCACTATATCGAAGAGATTTTGCTGTTTTATACTATCATTTTATTTTGTTATTCGAAAAAAAAAACATTTGTATTGGTATTTATTTATTATTTATACCATTTTTTCTATCGCATATTTCTATTAGATACTTTGTTAATGGATTATCACCATTATTAGATGACACTTCCTATTTTAAATCGACATATATCATAACATTGACATATCTTTTCTACATACGAAGAAAACTTAATAGACACAAATTTATTTTATGAATAACGTCTCCTAACTCAAATTCACCCTGATATATGACATCTATAAGTAAGATAACCTGTTAATATAAAATTATCAGCATCACAGAATGATAGTTGCCATGAGTGTTAAATTGTTTGAAAGTTTACTAGTATCTGTGAAAATTCTTCGAAAAACAATGGGTACATCATAATATCTATTTCACTTTTATTTTCTATATTTTAAGGGATTCAAAACTTGTTGTTGAAGTTTGAGTTCTGATTTGTTTAGATAGAGAATAAAATTCTTTGCATATCTATCAACTTTGTTTTTCAGAAAGATTTTTCATGCATGTGCAAAATTCATGATATTAAAACCCATGGAAATGTCAAGTTGGTAATTCATATTTAGCTTTAAATAAAAACAATTCATGTGTATTGGAAAGAATAAAAACTTGCAGCTTAATACCTAATATTATTTTTGGATGCATTATGAAAAATTATTTTCTTATAGGTTACACTTATCCGATTCTCGTAACGTTGAATGTACTATTAATTAAGTGACATAAATAGCAAAATTCAAAATAAATTGTTCAATACTTCAAAGATAGGAAATTAAGATAAGTAATTTATTGTGAATTATCCTTTACTTTTCTATTTCGGAGAAAAATTTTCCAAAAGAATATTTTTATAGTAAGAGAAATTCTTTTCAGTTCAGCAACAGATTCTATACCTCTTATCAGAAGAGATTAAATTCTTTTGAAAAACAGCGATATAATCACAATAAAACTATATTTGAAGAATACATCATATCTAATAATTATTTTTGTTTTCTTTCAATTTTTTCGATAGTGAAATATATGGATAAAATCTCGTTACAATTAAAAACAATTTAAAAAACCAATCAATCGATCAAATTAATACTTCTAACTTACAATCAAACTGAGTTTTAAATATGGTATTAATACTCCTTATTTTGCAGACATATATAGATGATGAATAAAATGATCAGTTCATTGATCTTTTTCATTTTTATTGCTAACACAATCACAGCATGGATCTTTTCATTTTTTCAAAAATATTCAACTACTCATTTTGCAAACAGAAGTACATATCTAATTTTGTCACCTGATCTATGATTAGCAAGAGCAGTATCTATCGCATCAGATGTTCTATTAAAATAGAAAATGCCATACTCCGCCACACACATAACCAAGCCCACACCCACACCCTTATAGGTATTCTCTGTCCTCAGTCCATTCTATGTTAAGATGCTTAACCTAAAGGCCTTTTTCTGTCTTTTGTGAAACACGATCTAAAAGGAGTGTTGAAGTGTATAGGGTAGAAATTTGGACCCCTCCCCCCACAGACCGTGACAGAGAAAATCCATACCCATCACAGACCGTGACAAAGGGGCTCCAAAGACCATCACAGATCGTGACAGAGGGGCTCCAAAGACCATCACAGATCGTGACAGAGAAAATCCATACCCATCACAGACCGTGACAGAGAAACCCAGTACTCATCACAGACCATGACAGAGAAATCCAATACCCGGCATAGACCGTGACAGAGAAATCCAATACCCGGCATAGACTGTGACAGAGAAATCCAGTACCCATCACAGACCGTGATAGAGGCGCTCCAAAGACCATCACAGACCGTGACAGACAAAATTCAAATTCCTTCATTCACAATATAAAAAGGTCCATCGTGTTTCACATTTTTAATCCCGCAGGGATTGCGCTGAAAGCTTTTCTGCTTGTGTGTTGGTCAACGCTTATTATTTTCTTAGCCTCTGGTTCTTCTAGTTCTAATTGTCCTTTTTCTTTTTTCTCTTCTCGTTTTTTGTTACTCTATTGTAATCATCTACGGGCGTAACAAACATTATGTTTACTCAAAAAAATGATGCACATTTAACTTTACATAAGGTATCAATAAATTTTTATCTCGTCTAAAATACACATATATGTTGAGAGACTTTTGAAATACGAGAAGTCAAATTAAGCATGTTTTGTTCTTATTTACGCAACTTAGCCACGTCGCCTTCCTCCTCCTCCTCCTGCGCGACCAGAATAGCTGAACGAATTGGTGTTTATATTATTAAATGGTTCGCTTATCCGTGCTTTGATCGCATCACCGGCTGAATTTTGTTGTATGAGAGCATTGTCGGAGATTTGTTGTATAAAATCATACTCAGATCGTGAGAGTTCTCCAAATGAAGGCAATGGCAGAATATATTCGTTGATGAGAGAGCCTTTTTCTTGAGAGACATCACTGTTTTGAATATTTTTCTGATTTAGTCTGCTGTTTATAATGTGGTAGTGAGTATTTTGATTTTGATTTTCTAATGAAGTGTAGAATGGAGTTACAACGTGACACCCATTTCTTCGAATGTTTAATTTTTGAACTCGATGGTTTCTGACATCAAGTAATAGTAAATTACCATCAGAATCAAGCTGAATTTTTTGCGGCTTGAGCATTAGACTTTGCTGGTTTCCAACCAGATAACTTGCAAGTTTAATAATTCTTGTATTGCTGAAGTTTGTCGTTTGTATTTGCAGTATTCGATGATGTTCCCAATCCGCGATGACAATATATATGTTTCCTGATTGCTTATCGTCAACGATAGTAAAACCAGACGGATCTTTGATGAACTTTTCTCCAATCTTACGAATCAATGAACCATTTGCCGCAAATTGTTTGATGGTGTTCTCTTTATAGCATGTAGCATAAATGTCACCTGTCAATTCATGTACATGAATATCTGTCGGTGCACATGATTCAATAATAATCTGCCCAGATTTTGCACCCTGTGGCCATTTCATAACACGACGGTTTGCAAAATCTGATAAGTAAACATTAAATTGCTCATCAACATACAGATCCAAGCAACCATCAAACTGATTTACATGATTACCACGACCAAAGTGTCCGATGATCGTCTTCCCCTGCGTACCATTCTTAGCCCATTTTTGAATACGACTGCTATAATTGCTTGCCACATATATGTTCTCTTGCTTATCTACGAAGACTACTGTTGGATAATGCAACTGGTTTGC